TCCCCTCCCCTCCTCTCCCCTCCCTTTTCCTCCCCTCCCTTCCCCCATCTGCCTCTCACCAGGTCTGGCAGTTCTCTGAAGTGGGGACTTGCATGTCGATGTCATAGTAATTTTCTTTCTCATCATAGCAGCCGCACTGGGCCACACACTTCATCTGGTCCTCACTGAAGAAGGGCTGGCTGTCGGGGCACTCTGGGTAGCAGCCTGGCAGGGGGGTAGGGAGCTCGCTGGTCCTCTACCCTCTCTGACAGGTCCGGGGCTCCTCTATCCCCCTCCGCCCCGCAGAGCCAGCCCAGGGCTGGCAGACGCCTTACCCTCCATGCCGGGCAGGTCAAGCAGACACTTGCCGCTGGGGTTCCGGCAGGTCTTCAGGCAGGGGGCCCCGCAGGGCTGGTAGTGCCACTCACACTGCCCATGGGGGTTGTAGTAGTCGCAGAACAGAGCTGGGCGAGAGGGCGGAGGCTAAGCGGGCGCCCAGGGCCAGCCCACCCCCGGTTCAGAGCGCCCACCAAGCCCCCTTCCCTCAGCGCCCAGGGCATTGCCACCTCAGGCGCAGGTCCCGGGCCCGGCAGGGCCTCGCCAGCCCCGAAGCTCTGCACAGAGCTGTGTGCGTGCCCCTAGGCGTGCACACACACGTGTCCCGGACGTGTATGTGCACGCCTGCTGCCTGGCTCCCCGCTCAGCACCACGGACAGAGCCCCACTCACGGCAGACATCGGGCGTCCTCCAGGACACGCACACGCCCACGTCGTGGCAGGCCTGGGCGTAGGCCGCCACGGCGGTGCAGAGACACTCGCAGTCTCCCCCCGAGTCGCAGGCACACGCGTCGCTCACGCAGGCCTCGTAGTACTTGGTGGAGTCGATCTGGAGCAGAAGGGCCAAGGCGCCACTCAGGGAAGAGCCACAGCCAGCCAGGCCCCAGAACCAGCCCTGAGCAGCTGTAGGCAGCCTCCACCCCAGTGACCTGAGATATCCCGGGTCTGTGAGGTGCTTTCTGGGGTTCCCGAATGGGAGCCCCTCCCAGCCCACCTCTCCAGGCACTGGTCTCCTGCCCTCCCACGCACCTGCACCTACAGCCCTCAGATCCTTTTAGTATATGAGGATGTGGCCCACAGGTTCCAGGCCCGCCCAGGACATCACCCCCTGCCCTGCACCCCTAGCCTGGCCCTCTGCCCTCGTGCCCTGGCTTGCTCTGCTCGTCAGGCTGGTCCGTCCTTCCTCTGTAGGGAAGATACCTTCCTCACACTGATGCTCTCTGGCCCCTGCTCAGGCTGCTCTGCACAGAGCCCCACTCTGGCCACCCCACTGCCTTGTTTCCTAAAGTTGAGCTATGCAAGAACACTCTATTTTCTGTTCCCCAGGGGGCGGGTTGGAGCCCAGAACCCTCCGGGCTCCTCAGGAAGCTCTGGGTGTCGGTGGGGGCAGGAGCCGTGCCCGGCCTTGCTTCGCTTCTGACCGGCACATCCCTGCTGTGCGTGGCCGGCCCGTGTGCCCTCAGGAGAGCCCGGCCACAAGGCCCAAGCCAAGCAGGAGGCCAATAGGGCTGTGCGGGCTGCCTGCGTTCGTACTGTGAGGATGAAGTTGCTGCAGGGTGGCTGCCCAGCTGGGGGACGAGCTGTGGGTGCGAGGGGCACTCTGTCCCCGTGTGGGGTGGTGGCTGCCACGGCCCTGGGCAGTCACCCCCCCATCACCACCACTGCCTGACTTAGGGATTTGTGTCGCTGGGTAGGCACACCAGTGTTGGTTAGAAACCGCAGAACGGATTTTAGAAGTCCCTAGTGAAGGCCGATCACCCTGTCCTCCCGGGGAGCCTGGGTGGCCTTCCCATCTGTGCTGCTGACTGGGTAGGCCTGGCATGTAAACAGGGAGCCACCGATGGGGGCTGGACAGCAGTGATGTCCCATGCCTGGGACCCAGGAACCTGTCCTGTGAGAGATCCAGCCCATGTAATCCAGCCTGTGTTGTGCCCAGCCTGGCCCTGCTCGATTCCCATGAGAAGGAGACAACCAAAGACCCTGCAGACCCCTGTCCCCCTGCAGACCCCCTGTCCCCCTGCGGGCCCCTGTCCCCCTGCGGACCCCTGTCCCCCTGCAGGCCCCCTGTCCCCCTGCAGGCCCCCTGTCCCCCTGCAGACCCCTGTCCCCCTGCAGACCCCTGTCCCCCTGCAGGCCCCCTGTCCCCCTGCGGGCCCCTCCCACCCAGCCCAAGCCCAGGTCTCCCTAGGTCCCACCTGAGGGTGGCAGGCAGCGAAGGTCTTGCTGTTGATGATGCTGCACTGCTTCTGGGCCCAGGACTTGCGGTAAGGGTTGGCAGTGCAGGGGTCCTTGGGCACCAGGGCATCGGGGCAGGACGGGGAGAACTTCCAGCTGTTGCCGAACTCCAGGGCGTCTCCGACCACAGACTGACTCCGCGTGGTGAAGTCGTTGATGGCGTTGTCGTCGAAGTTCCCGCACAGGCCGCAGACCCTGCCCTGCAGCCCATGGAGAACACACAGCCCAGATAGGACAGGCCTGGCCTGGGGCAGGGCCACAGGGCAGGCCTGGAGTCCCTCTGGGCAGGGGGGGTGCAATGTGAAGCGGGTCCTGGGACAGACAGCTGGAGAGTTCCTGCTCCCTTAAATCTCCCTGCCAGCTACCCCAGAAGCGGGAGGAGGGGGAGAGGGGGGGATGACAGATGGGCATCAGCCTCGCCTCTCTAGTTAGAGCCTTTACAACCGAGGCCCAGCCCAAGGCAGCCAGACTCCACCCCAGCAGGACCTGCCTGGGCGCGGGGCCCCGCCAGCTGTGCGTACCTTGTAATGCTGCTTCAGTCGGATGAACACACTGGTCTTCCGGTCCCAGGACACAACCAGCCCACCGCGTGTCTCAATGACCAGGAAGATGCCCATGTAGCGGATCTTGTAAGGCAGGGTCCCGCTGGACCCCCTGTGTACCATCTGGACGCGCCCCTCATGGAGGAGCAGCTCGTGGCTCTGTGGGTGGAGGGATAAGGGGCTGAGAGGGCCGAGGGCTCACCGTGAGGCCTGGACTCAGGACAGGCCCCTGAACTCGGCGACTCACAGCGAGCCCGGCCAGAGGCCAGGGTAGGCCGTGGCGACCACACCGCCATCATCTCTCGCGCCGTTCCACCCCACACTTCCTTCCTCTCACCCACAGCCGCCCTCCTCAGCCCCTCCCAGCCACTGGGAGCTCAGTACCCGCCAGGAGCTCCACTTTCTGCCTTGTGTGAACTCTGGTCTACCTTCCGTGAGAGTGGGGTCCGGGTGTGTGGGGTGAACCTGTCTGCCCACAGTCTGCTCCCCTATGAAAGCCAAGTTACGAGCCTTGGAAGGGCTGGGATGTAACCTGTGGCAGAGCCCGTGCCCAGAATCCGTAAGGCCCTGGGTTCCATCCAGCACAGCAATGCTCACACAAATTTCTTGTCTAAAAACAAAGGTCTCTGTAGATAATGAAGAATTTTGGACTGGATCATCCTAAACTGCCTGGATAGCCTTCAATCCAATATGGTGCCCTTTTATATGACAGAGGAGAATACACAGACAGGGCAGAAGGCTATGAGAAGACAAAGGCAGAGGTTGGAGCCCCAGCCGGCCTCCGTGTCAGCCTCCGGGCCTCAGGCAAGGCGGGCCTGTGGTTTGGTGTGGTTTGGCATGGTGCCTCTGGCTGGGTGCACCTCACCTCTAGGAAGACCTTGATGGCTTTGGAGCAGGTGGTCCCCGTGGTCCCGCAGGGGACGTTCTCCGTGACGATGCGGAAGGTCCCGTTGGTGCTGACACCCCCGCAGTAGTCCTGTGATGGCAGGAGAGGAAGCATCAGTCACGGGCACCACGGAGGCTCCGTGCGGGGTGGACTGCCCGGTGCCGGGGGGCAGCCCGAGCCACGCACCTGGGCCAGGACGTACTCGCAGCTGCCCTGGAAGCTGTAGCGCTCCCCGTCAAACGTGATGAAGTGGCCGTCCCCGTAGGCCACGCAGGTGCCCAGGCAGGGCCGGTCGGTGCACGCCCATCGCCGGTTCCTGCAGGTGCTGTGGGGTGGGGGGAGGCTGCTCACCGGGCCCGGCTCTGAGCCAGTGTGCTGCCCACAGCCCAGCCAGGGCAGGGCTTGTGTGGACAGGCAGGCGGTCACCTCAGACTCCAGACCCAAGCCTAGTCCAGGCTCTAGCCCTGCCGCACCGGTGCCAGCTGAGGCCAGGGTCCCCAGGAGGCCCTCCCGCCCTGCCTCCCGTGGCCCGGCACCCACCAGGTGTTGCAGTCCGCCCGGATCGTCTCCCCAGGTCTGTAGGTGGCCTCATTGTGCACACATGGACAGTCTTCCTCGGCGATGCAGCCCCCGTGTCCGTCTGCCACCAGCCCCTGCGGGCACACGCAGCCCGAGACGCAGTGTGTGCTGAACTGTGGGCACAGGCAGCCTGGTCAGGGACAGGAGCGTGGCCTGCTCACCCGTCCCTCCTGGGGTCCTGGGACTTGAGGCAAGTGGACACTTCCCACCTGGTAGCGGCCAGGCAGGGGCCACATGGGGAGTGGGGCATCAAGGCCAAAGCCGCGGCCACCTGGCGGTCCCAGAGCCCCTGGGGGCGGGGGTGTCCGGGGCCCATCCCAGCGCCCCTCCCGGTGGCTCAGGTCCTGCCAGGGATACTCACGCAGTCGACGTCCAGTGTGCGGCAGCTCCTGAGGCACTCGGCCCCGGGGGTGCCCGCCGTGACGTTGTTACAGTCCAGGTGCACCATGGGTGCCACACAGCCTGGAGGGCAGAGTTCATGAGAAGGGCTGGCGGGAGAGGCAGCCACGCCCCCGCTGTGTCTGCTGACCCCATTCTGCTTTGGGGGTCTGATCAGAGTGTCCAGGCTGCCTCAGACCTGTCCCACGGAGCCAGGATGCACAACCCAAGGTACTGTGGCCACACTAGACAGAAGCGAGTGGCCTTCCCCTGCAGCATCTTGGCACGGTGTCCGTGGCAGGAGCCAGGGCGCGGGTGGGCTGGGTGGGCTGGGACAGGAGGAGCCCGGGGCGCGGCTGGGCTGGGACAGGAGGAGCCCAGGGCGCGGCTGGGCTGGGACAGGAGGAGCTGGGGCGCTGGGCTGGGCTGGGACAGGAGGAGCCCGGGGCGCGGCTGGGCTGGGCGGGCTGGGACAGGGCAAGTGTGTTACCTGTGTTCTCCTGCAGTGTGGCTCCCAGGCAGTTCAGCTTCCCATTCGTGCACGAGCTACAGGAGAAGACAAGCCACCTGGTCTGAACTCCAGGCCCCTACCTGGCCACCCTGCCTGCCAGCCAGGCTTGGACCGCCTCAGGCTGCACCATCTCCTCTCAGGACCGGGACGGTGCCTGCTGCTAGGCAGCCGTTCACAGCCCCAGGCCTGTGCTATAGATTGTCCCTCTGATGTCCCCCATTTCCTTGGTGCTAGTCTTGGTCTGCAGTCTCTTGGGAGGAGGCAGACATATAGGAGGTGTGGCCTAAAGGGAGGAGGTGAGGTCATGGGCTGTAGGCTGTGGGGAGGAGGTGAGGTCATGGGCTGTGGGGAGGAGGTGAGGTCATGGGCTGTGGGGAGGAGGTGAGGTCATGGGCTGTGGGGAGGAGGTGAGGTCATGGGCTGTGGGGAGGAGGAGGTGA